GTCCCCTCGACTCGCCCCCCCCCCAGAACCCCCAACCCATCAACCTCCCTGGCTCCCTGTCCCCTGACTGCTCTGACCACTCTCCACACCCCTGCCCCCTGACAGGCCCCCCCAGAACCTCCAACCCCCCCACTCCTCTCCCTTGACTGCCCCCTCCAGAACCCCCCTGCCCCTTCTCCAACCCCCTGGCTCCCTTACCGTGTGGCTCCGCAGCACACTCCAGGGGGCATCTGGACAAAGCCACAACTGGCTCAGAGGGCCTGGGGGTGGGGAGACTTCAGAAGACATTAATGGGGGGGACCCCCCAAGGCCTCTAACCATCATCTTTCTGGGGCTTTGTTTTTTTTAAATCTTCTCCAAAATTTATCCCCCAGCACCAGGCTGGGCACGGCTACTGCTGCCAGGCGTCCTTTCCATCGGTCAAGTACCCTGCAGTCACCGTCCCCTTGCCCCCGCTCCGTTCCAGCGAGGGCACGACCAGCGCCCCGCGAGGAAAGGGACACCTGGGCTCCAGACAGGAGCTAAACTCTCTGTTTTCCCTGCTGCGGGGCGGTTCTCTCCCCCCTGCAAAAGCAGGTTAGAACAGCCGTGCCCCGGCTCTCCCCAGGGAGCAGCACGCTGGGCAGCAGGGGATGGGGAGGAGAAGGGAAGAGCTCTGGAGCTGCTGGAGGCCGCCTGGCCAGTGATTTGAAGCTGCAGGGGGAAGGGGAGGAGAGGCTCCGGCTGCTGGAGCACCATGCCAGTGGTTCAATCCAGCCAGCCGCCCTATCACCCGCACCGTGCTCTGCAGGGCGGGGAGAATGCTGGACTTGTAAAGATATTTACAAATTTCACCCCCCTGGACGCTATTTTTAACCTAAAAAGCTGGACATGCCCGGGAGAATCTGGACGAATGGTAACCCTACCCATGCCTCCAACCTCCCCGATCTTTCCCCAGCTGCCCCCTACACAAGGAAGTAGCCCCCTTGCAGACGGGTCACTGCACTGGTGCTGCTTGTGGTGATGGCGCACATGGTTTCTGGAGCGTACTGAGCACCCATGTGCTGCTGTGCCCCCCTTGTGCCCCCGTTTGCACTAAGTGAATGGCAGGGCAAGGCGAACAGTTAGTCACCAACATCACTGTTGGCTGGTTTCTGGTGCCCTCTAGTGGATCAGACAGAACCTGTGTGTGCGCATACAAATGGCCACCTGAGAGAGGGCACAGCATTGAACTAGGACAGGGGTGGGCAAACGTTTTGGCCCAAAGGCCACATCTGGGTGGGGAAATTGCATGCAGGGCCATGAATGTAGGGCTGGGGCAAGGGTGTGGGAGGGGTGCAGAGTGCTGGAAGGGGCTCAGGGCAAGGGGTTGGGGCACAGGAGGGGTGCAGGGTGTATAGGGGGCTCAGGGTAGGGGTGCAGGAGAGGGTGCGGAGTGCAGCGGGGGCTCAGGGCAGGAGGTTGGGGGTGCAGGTGGGAGTTGGGGTGCAGGCTCCAGCCAGGTACCGCTTATCTGGAGTGGCTCCGGGGTGGCAATGGCGCACAGTGGAAGCGATCAGCATCACATCCCTGAGGGTACCTCCCCCGAAGCTCCCATTGGCTGCAATTCCCCGTTCCCGGGGCCACAGGGACATGGTGCTGGCCGCTTCTGGGAGCGGCGCGGGGTCTGCAGCGCCACGGGGGTGGCAATCCTGTGGGCTGCAGTTTGCCCACCTCTGAACTAGAGGCTTGGGATTGAATAGGTGAGGAGTTTTACAAGCTGCACTCCAGCTGGCTCAGGTACCAGGCCGAAATGAGAAGCCACCCTATAGACTCTTGGTCCCACTAATTGATTCCCATTGTGTATCATTCTCCCCTCCATAGGGGGGATCCTTGTGTCTTTGGTTCAACCATCCTTAAGGGGACCCATTGTACTCTCTGCCCCCACCCACTGCCCATTTAATAAATGATCTCCTCATGTCACATTTCCAGGAGAAGTCCTTGTTCTAGACTGATAAGCATCCATCACATGCCAGGTTCCACACTAAGAGGCTCCCATTATACATTCCACCTGGGGGTGGCCTACATGGCAGAGAAGACTGACAAACCAGAGAGGGATTTTGCCAAGGATGAAGCATCAAGCACAGTTGGTCTGTAGGACGTGAGCAACGTGCCAAGCTAGTGCAGGGCCCCCTCCATAGAGCAGGGACAGCTAGAATGGCTAAGTTAAAGCCACAGGTCACATTCTGCCACCTTGCTGCACATCTAGGGAAAGTCTTTGTTGATGGCATGGCAACAACCTTTCTCTGCTGTTTGTGGGTATCTGACCAGCGCTGGAGACTCCCCGCTTAGCTCAAAAGCAAAAAGCATGAAGAGAAATTAATCACAGCTATGAGTTTATTGAAACCAGTCCAGGGATTGCCACATTACAGCTGGAAACTGACTTATATGGTTGGCAAGGGGTCTAGTCCCAAAGCAACTTGGGTTCAAAGAATTTACATGATTCTGGTGCTGAACAGCACACCTGACCTGTGGGTATACCTCTGGTTGTGGTGGGAGGCAGGCCCCTTATCCTATTGGCCACACAACAGCCTTCATTTCTCTTCTGCTGTATTTGAAGGTATCAGTTCAGGGCCCAGCCTGCCTGTGATGCATGGGGGAAATGGTTGCCAAAGGCATTAGGAGCAGTGAGCCTGGATGGAGAGCTGCATATGGCCCTAAGAATCCCATTTCAACTAAAGAAAGATTTGAGATGACGTGACCATCTCTCACCAGTAAGGTACAGAATACCCACATAACTGGATAGTGGTGACTTCTCAGAGAATGGAGGGAGGCAGGGTCAGGACAGGCCTGAGAGGTCTCTTCAGAGAAGAAGGATGGGAAGGTTCCCATGATGCAAGAGCTGGGAGAGGTTTTACTTAAACAGGAAGGTCCCTTTTAGTTAAGCAAGAGCTGGCACAAGAAGCCAGCTTTTCAAAGGTTCTGAGCTCCTGCTGACTTTGGGTGGAGTTGCGAAGGATAAGCACCTCTTAAAAAAATCAGGTCCAGGGTGTTTTAAAGAAGACCCATGTCTGCATGGCAAAAGAAGCCATTATCATAAAAGGGCCAACATGAGATGTACCCAGGCCAACCCCTGGCCTTTTACTGAGGCCCACATGTACTGTGTAGACCATAAGGGCACAGAGAAAGTTGAAATACTGACTGTGCCCAGGATGAAGCAATTAATAATGCTGAAAACTTTGACAGCATGTGGAACCAGCATCATGGTGGGAAAGGTTAACATGCAGATGCTTCCAGTCATGTCTCCACTGCTCCATCTGCCCCAGGCTTCCTTTTTGCCTATAATGAGTCAATTATTTGGGGGCAAGAATTATCTGCTAAAGTTCTCTATAAGGGCTGGGGATACATATGATGCTGTATAAATAATTCGCTGTTCCAGGGTGTGGAGAGAGGGGCTGAATCCCAACAAAACACTGTAACAACATCCCATTAAATCCAAGTAGATCTGCTGGTTGCGGGGGGCTCTGTCACTCCTTGAATTTCCACTCTTGCCGGCACATAGGACAGTGCTGCTGGACTTGCTGTGAATTCAGCCACTTGAGAATGCAGTGCATGTGGAAGCAGTGGGAGCACTGCCCCCACACCAGGGGGCAGTCATCTCCAGGCACCTTACCTACAAAGAGACAAAATTTATGAGGAGAGAAGGGAGCACCTGGGCTGAAATACCGCACAGGGCAAGGGGCCTGGGTTACTCACAGTCTGGGCAACAGCCATTAAAGGCCATCCGGCAGATGCCACAGTTCTCATCATTGGCCACCCAGAGCCAAGAGGCTACCCCATTCCAGCTCTTTATCTTCACCTTCATCCTGGCCAGCTGTGTGTGTCAGAGTCAAGTCAGCACCTGGCAGGAGAAGCAGTTGCTCAGATTGAGTTTAATTTCTAATCCTTTGGTTTCCCAGCTGAAACAGCTCATCTCCCCAGGGGCAATGCAGCCTCCTTTGGCTACCAGCATTGCTTCCTCCCCATGGCAGTTCAGAATGGGATGTGGATGGGCTGTTCCCTCCCCCACAGCTCAGGGGTTACTAGTGAACCTCTATCCTCAGGAGCCTCTCATCCCAGATCCTCTATCCTGGTTCACAAACACCCATTTAGCGACCTTGCCCCATCACTGGGCATACCAGGATCAGCACCCCCCACTTTACAGATCAGGAAACTGAGTAACAGTGAGAGGAAGGAATTTGGTCAAGGTCACACAACTGGTCTGACTGCCAGTTCCATGGCAGGAGAAGTAGGAGCCTAGGCCTGAGCCCCCTGCCCTTCTACTCCAGGCTTCCTCACAGCACTGCTGGGAGGACCTGGGCACCTTAGTCTTTCCATGGGACAGAATGAAAATGGATCCCAGCAGCTCCTATTAGCATGTCACGTGATTGCTTCCTGCCAGGATCAGGGCTGAGAGGCCTCCCCGCACCCCCAGGGAAAGGGGCTGACACGCACCTAACGGGGTCCCCCAGAGCTAGGGTGACCAGACGTCCTGATTTTATTGGGACTGTCCCGATATTTGCTTATTTGTCCTGCGTCCCGACCTACCGCCAGCTTTTTTGTTTTGTTCCCCCCACGTCCCGATATTTCACCTGTGTGATCCAGTCACAAAGTCACCCTACCCAGAGCTCAGCACAACCCAGAACCACTGCAAGCCGAGGGAGCCCCCCCCCGTCGGGATCTCTCCGCCCCCCGCCCCCGGGAGCCCCTCCCCCTCTGGATCTCTCTGGCCCCGCCCCCGGGAGCCCCTCCCCCTCCCCCTCGGGATATCTCTGCCCCCGCTCCCGGGGAGCACCTCCCCCACGGAATCTCTCCGGCCCCGCCCCGGGGAGCCCCTCCCCTCGGGATCTCTCCGGCCTCGCCCCCGGGGAGCCCCTCCCCCTCGGGATCTCTCCGGCCCCCGCCCCCGGGAGCCCCTCCCCCTCTGGATCTCTCTGGCCCCGCCTCCGGGAGCCCCTCCCGCTCGGGATCTCTCCGGCCCCGCCCCGCGGGACCCCTTGCCCCAGGATCCCGGCAGCCCCACCCCAGAGACGACACAACGGTCCCCAGCTCACACGCTCGGGCCGGCGGGAATCTCAATGGCCGCGTACCGGAAGTCCCGCCCCCGGCAAGACGTGCACCCCCCCCCCCCGCCTCGGCCCTATAGAACAGGGCGTACAGCACCTGCGCTCTCATTTGACGCCCTGGCCCGCCCCTTCCGGTTCCGGCGTCGGCGCAGCGCGGCCGGAAGTGCAGGCCCCGGAGCGGAGCCGCCATCATGGCCGACAAGATGGACATGTCCCTGGACGATATCATCAAGCTGAACCGCAGCCAACGGGGGGCCGGTCGCGCCGGGGCGGCCGCGGAGGCCGGGGCCGAGGAGGCGCCGCCCGCGGAGGGGGGCCCGGCCGGGGCAGTGTTGGCGTCGGGCGAGCAGGAGGCGGCGGCCCCCTGCGGAACAGGCCGATCATGGCCCGAGGCGGCGGCAGGAACCGGCCCGCGCCCTACAGCCGGGTACGGAGCGAGGCGGGCGGGGGCGGCCGGCCGAGGCCCCGTAGCCGGGGGCGGAGCCGCAGGAGCCGCAGACTGACTTGTGGGAGCAGCAGGCGCGAGGGGGCTGGGGCTTGATCCTGGGGACCGAGCGGGGCAACTGGCTCTAGAGCCGGCTGCGCCAGGAAGGAGGCGGGCCCGGCCGGAGGCCCTTTGTCTCTCCCCGCAGCTGGCAGCGTCTCGTGGCTGAGCAGTGAGGTGGGGCGAGCGGGCTCAGGGTCTCGGGAGGACTAGTCAGACCCCTGTGGGGTGGCGGGATCCCGGGCTGGGGGCTTGGACAGAGATGCTCAGTGAGAATATTTGTTCTGTTTCAGCCAAAGCAACTCCCCGAAAAGTGGCAGCATGACCTGTTTGACAGCGGCTTTGGGGCTGGGGCAGGCGTGGAAACCGGGGGGAAACTCCTGGTTTCTAATCTAGACTTTGGTGTGTCGGATGCAGATATCCAGGTAAGAAAGCCCCCCCTCTATCCCCCCTCCAAGTGTTGGAAAAGCCACAAAGGAGACACTTTGAGGTAATTGGCTTGGGCATTTTGGATTAATGTTACATTTTCTGAGGTCTGTGGACCCTTCCTCATGGAATGACACAGGGATCTCTAAGGCAGTTAACTTTGGACTCTTTTTATTGTTGCAGTCACCACTTCTGACTGACTGTTTTAGTACTGTCTGATGTGACTGGAATGCAAAAAAAAGTATTTTGTTCCTCTGTAGTTCGTTTAATATATAATAAATGACTGAGCAAAGGTGTCTGTGTGGGAAGGCTATGATGTTTGGGTCTGAAAATTTAATGTAACTTGCCCAAAATCTGACATGCAGATCCTAGTAAATGCATTAGTAGAATGCTTTACAAGGTTGCATTTTTTTTATTCTCTCCTAACTGCGATAGAGAGAGAGATCTTTCTGTCTCCCCACCCCTGCTTTTCTCCCAGTTCTGAACTCCTATGCTGCTAGACAAAACGTACTGGCTTGTGGGGGTCCCTAATCGCGGTGGGAACATGCTTTTGGGGAGAAGGGATATAGCAAAAAGCATACGAGTTATGCACTGTTCTACTCTTTGTAACTCCCATGATATTGTAAAGGAGCCAAGATCTCACAGCTGAAATATGTGAGCCCTTGTGTTTGTCATTTGCCCTACCCAACTTCCTCGAGGCATATGGAAAGACTCTTAAGGCTAGTCTTCACTGACCATTGAAAAATACATCCTAAGTATTTTGTTAGCCTAATACAACTAAAATGCAGGCTCACGGGTTTGAAGGCTAGCTTCCCCCTAGTTATCTACGCCCAGATTCTCGAACGTAGTTACGCCACTAAATTACATTGACTTCAGTGGAATTTAGGCGCAGAAATAGCTTTGAGGATCTGGGCCCTAGTTGTTTATTAAAATGACATCAGATATGCTAACCCACATCTTAGGAGCGTTAGAGGTTTTTTCAAACATGATAAACAAGTTACCTGCCTTCAGGTTGGCAGGCCCTAACGAAATATATCCTCCAATACTTGAGGAACTGGCTGAAGCGATCTCTGAGCCATTAGCGATTATCTTTGAGAACTCTGGGAGGATGGGAGACATCCCAGAGGACTGGAAAAAGGCAAATTATAGTACCTAGCTATAAAAAGAGGTATAAGGACAGTCCAGAGAATTATGGACCAGTCAGCTTAATTTGGGAACCCAGAAAGACAATGGAGTAACAGGCAACATGGGTTTGTCAACAAATCATGTCAAACCAACTTAATTTTCTTTGACAGAGTAACAAGCCTTGTGGATAGGGCTGAAGCAGTAGGTGTGATATATCTCAACTTTAGTAAGACTTTTGATACCGTCTCACATGACCTTGTCAAAAGCAAACAAGGGAAATAAGGCCTAGATGAACCTACTATAAGGTGGGTGCACAGATGGTTGGTAAACCATACTCAGAGAGTAGTTGGCAATGGTTCACAGTCAATCTGGAAAAGCATTGAGTGGAGTCCTACAAGGACCATCCTGGGTCTGGTTCTATTCAATATCTTCATCAATGATTTGGATAATGGCATAGAGAATACTCTTATAAAGTTTGAAAAGACGTATTGGAGCATGAGATTTCGTGGGTGAATACCCACTTCTTCGGATGCATGACATGCATCCGAAGAAGTGGGTATTCACCCACGAAAGCTCATGCTCCAATACGTCTGTTAGTCTATAAGGTGCCACAAGACTCTTTGCTGCTTTTACAGATCCAGACTAACACGGCAATCCCTTTGATACTTATAAAATTTGTGGATGATACCAGGCTGGGAAGAGTTGCAATTGCTTTGGAGAACAGGATTAGAATACAAAATGATCTTGACCAACTGGAGAAATGGTCTGAAATAAATAGGATGAAATTCAACAAGGACAAATGCAAAATACGCCACTTAGGAATGAATAATCAGTTGCACACATACAAAATGGGAAATGGCTGCCTAGGAGGGAGTACTACAGAAAAAGATCTGGGGGTTATAATGGATCACAAACTAAATATGAGTCAACAGTGTAATACTGTTGCAAAAAAAGCAAACATCACTTGAGTATGTGGTAGGAGTGTTGTAAGCAAGACATGAGCCAGTTCTTCCACTCAGCACTGATAAGGCCTCAACTGGAGTACTGTGTCCACTTCTGGGCACCACACTTCGGGAAAGATGTGAACAAATTGGAGAAAGTCCAGAGAAGAACAACAAAAATGATTAAAGGTCTAGAAAACATGACCTAGGAGGAAAGATTGAAAAAACTGGATTTGTTTAATTTGGATAAGAGAAGACACGGGAGCAGGGCATGATAACAGTGTTCAAGTATGTTAAAAGGTTGTTATAAAGAGGAGGAGGATGAATTGTTCTGCTTATCCCCAGAGGACAGGACAAGAAATAATGGGCTTAAAGTGCAGCAAAGGAGATTTAGGTTAGACATTGGGAAAAATTTCATAACTGTAAGGGAAGTTAAGCACTGGAACAAGCAACAGAGCAAGCAATTTTCAAGTGATCCAACCTCTGTCACTTGCTCCAAGCTTCTGGCAGTCAGAGGCTAGGGACACCCGGAGTATGGGCTAGTATCCCTGAGCATCTTGGCTAATAGCCATTGATGGACCTCTGCTCCATGAACTCACCAGTTCTTTTTTTTGAAGCTTGTTATAGTTTTGGCCTTCGCAGCATCCCCAACAATGAGTTCCACAGGTTGACTGCGCTTTGCATGAATAAGAACTTTGTTTTAAATCTGTTGTCTATTAATTTCAGTGGGTGGCTCCTGGCTCTTATGTTATGTGAAGGAGTAAATAACACTTCCTTATTCGCTTTCTCCACACCAGTCATGATTGTATAGAACTCAATCGTATCCCTCCTCCGTCTTCTCTTTTCCAAGCTGAAAAGTCCCAGTCTTATTAATCTCTCCTCATATGGAAGCTGATCCATACCCCTAATCATTTTTGTTGCCCTTCTCTGTACCTTTTTAAATTCCAATAGATCTATTTTGAGATGGGGTGACCAGAGCTGCTTGCAGTATTCAAGGAGTGGGTGTACCATGACTTTATATAGAGGCAATATGATATTTTCTGTCTTATTATCTATCCCTTTCCTAAAACTTCCTAACATTCTCATAGCTTTTTTTTGACTGCCACTGCACATTCAGTGGATGTTTTCAGAGAATTATCCACAATGACTCCAAGATCTTTCTTAAGTGGTAACAGCTAATTTAGACCCCATCATTTTGAATGTGTAGTTGGGATTGTTTTCCAATGTGCATTACTTTGCATTTATCAACATTGAATTTCATCTGCCATTTTGTTGTCCAGTCACCCAGTTTTGTGAGATCCCTTTGTAACTCTTCGCAGTCAGCTTTGGACTTAACTATCTTGAGTAATTTTGTATTGTCTTCAAATTTTGCCACCTCACTGTTTACCCTTTTTTCCAGATAATTTCTGAATACGTTGAACAGCACTGGTCCCAGTACAGTGACACTGCTATTTCTCGCTCTCCATTCTGAAAACTGACCATTTATTTCTACCTTTTGTTTCTATCTTTTAACCAGTTACTGATCCATGAGAGGACTTTCCCTTTTATCCCACAACTGCTTACTTTCCTTAAGAGCCTTTGCTGAAGGACTTTGACAAAGACTTTCTGAAAGTCTAAGTACACTGTTTCCACTGGATCACCTTTGTCCACATGTATGTTGGCCACCTCAAAGAATTTACCTTTTGTCCAGGGCCATTAAGTTTTCTTCTGGAGCAACTTCTTGTATGACTTTGAGTTTCCTCCTTTCATAGATTGTTTTTTTTTTCTGGGCTACCAATGTTTACAATTTTGACAGCTATAAACCTCAGAGTTGGAGAAGCTGCCAGCCCTTGTTCTTTCCTGCCTGGTGCTGCTGTGAGATAGATGTTTTGGCAGCAGTTTGGTTAGTGGTAACAGCTCCCCTCTCTCTGTTGCACAGGAGCTCTTTGCAGAGTTTGGGACTTTGAAGAAGGCAGCTGTGCATTATGATCGGTCTGGACGCAGTTTAGGGACAGCAGATGTGCATTTTGAAAGAAAGGCAGATGCTCTGAAAGCTATGAAGCAGTACAATGGAGTCCCCCTGGATGGTGAGTCTGTTTGGCTGTTTTCACAGGACATTTCACTTGCTGGGTGGAGGACTCTAGATACAAGTGTATACAGATTAATTATTACTTTCTCTCTTTTAGGGCGCCCTATGAACATTCAGCTGGTTACATCACAGATAGACACACAGCGGAGACCAGCACAGAGGTGAGACGCTTTTGTTTGATATGGGCCTGTGCAACTGGCCTGTTGCACCTGATTAGCTTGGGCACTGAATTTGCATTTCTTTGTGGCTGCTGGGGTTGACTAGAGTGTACTGTGCCTGTAATACAGCTCTTTCTCTGCTTCACAGTGTAATCAGAGGAGGCATGACCAGAAACCGTGGTGGTTCAGGAGGATTTGGTGGTGGAGGTGGCAACAGGCGAGGTAACCGTGGTGGGAACCGAGGGAGAGGCAGAGGGGCTGGAAGAAGTTCCAAACAGCAGCTCTCTGCAGAAGAACTAGATGCACAGTTGGATGCTTATAATGCCAGGGTAAGTGTGGGTGCTCAATCAGTCCTTACCTGGAAATGGAAGGGTTAGCTCTCAATGGCTGCACAGAAAAGGATGGAGTATTTATCATAACACGGAACCAAAAAAATCCTCCTTGAGGCTAAGCAGTTCCTGTAGTTAACTTCATTCCCCCAAATGGTCCACCAACTGCTCTTACTCATGACTGAGAAACAGCCATCTCTGGGGTAGGAACATTCTGCAACATCCAGGACCACAGTTTTTCAAACAGGCTGGGGGCCACTTGGGCCAGCCTCTCACATGTAATTGCACACTGCACGTTGCACATCCTGGGAACATGGGAATGAACACAAAACTGCACATCTAACTTATTTGAAAATATGTATTCAACATCTTATGGGTGAGTGAAGGGTGGGGAAATTAACAAGCCTGAGTTGGTGTTGCTCTTGTGATGAGGGGTAATGGGGAATGGTTGTATTTATAGGTGGTACCTCCAGTGCCCATTGCCCTGTGCACCAGTAATAAAGAATCTGTAATAGAAACAGAGGCAAACCAACCAGACTAGTCTGTCAAGGGAGGAAGCAGGACCCATGTATAAACCAGCTGATATAATTAATAAATCCAAAGGCTGCATAGCTTAAATTTGCTAAGGAGCAGGTGGTGAAGTGTGTTTGGGGGGAGAAATACCCATTGGCTGAGCCATATGAAATACCTCCTGGCCTAAGGTAGTTGGGTGACAAAGTTACAGTACCATTGACCATTTAAAAATCCAGTCATGGATAACTGGAGTGTGCCTGAAGATTGAAGGGAGCAGATTTGGCTGTTTAGCAGAATCGGAAAGTGTTCCTGTCTGCTACTGTCCCGTAAGACTCACTCACCACTGGTAAAATAATGGAAGAAATGTGATTAGAAAATCACTCAATATCTAGAAGATTAAGCAGCAATAAGGAGTATTGTGGGCTTATAAAGGGAAAATCTTGATAGGCAAACCTGACTGCTTTCTCTGATAGAACTACAAAAATAGAGGGAAATGCAGTAGGCATGGTCTCATGGGATTTTAATAAAGAATTGAAAAGCCTCATAAATCTCAGTTGGAAAACTTGGCTTGGAAACTGGCTCAAATAAAAAACAAAGGATCACAAACAACAGAGTAGGCAGTTATGAGGGGGCATTTCTGGTGATTGATCCAGGTTGGGACCCAGTGTTGCTGAAACTCTCCCAATGATACTGAAATAAGACAATGAAGGAAAATGATTAGAACCATGACTGTAAGAGACTGAAGGGTGAATGGGCAGGAGTCTGGCAACATGACCAATACAATTTTGGGCTTGCCTATGCAAAACTGTCAAATTAAAGGCCAGGTTTATGCTCCAAAGCAGTGGTTCTCAACCTATATACCATTGTGGGCCGCATTCACACAACATATATATACTATTGGTATAGCCCTGAGGATGTCACATGGGCCGCAACTGTGTGCTGATTGGACCACAAGCAGCCCACATGTTGAGAACTACTGCTTCAAAGTTGTCAGTCAGGTGTGATGAAGTGTGATCGCTGACTGAGTTATACCAGCAGCACTTTTGCCAACATAGCTTATTTTGCTCAGGGGCAGGAATCAGCTAAATTGTCAAAAATGCCATTTTGCCAATATAGGCTGCAACCCAGTAGGAGTGTTTAGCCAGTACAGAACAGACCTGGCCAAAGTGGGGAGGTGATAGGTGGGATCCAGTGTGTTCCATAGAATATCCTGAATGGAATGAATTTGTTTCAGCATTGTGCTTTAGAATCTGAGTTATTTTACAGAAATAATTATTTCTCATCCTGGTTGCAAAGAAGATACTAAATTGTGAACTGGATGCTCATTGATGCAGTGATGTCTACTTGAGTCTGCAGATGGTCTGAAAAAATAACATTGAGAGGCATGAGCTGTCCTAGTCATCTCATCAAACTATCTCTGAACCCTAACCACCGTTTAAATGTCAACTTTGTACTGCTGATCACTGCAGCAAAAAAACATGTACCTATCATATGCTGATCTCAGTTCCTCCCAGGCATCCTTGGGGTGTTAAGAGTTCCACCTGCACCTTACCCACCTGCCAAAACAAGATTCTCCTTGCAATTTCTGTAGGCTGTTATGTAAGGTCACCACAAAAAACTGCAGCACATTGAAAACTGGTAATATTAACATACATACAGCACAGGACCTACCATATTGACTATTCATTTTTCATAATTTAGGAAGATCCTACATTTGAGAGTATACCCCACAGCTTGCCAATTAAACTAGAAGGAATAGGATGAAATTAGAGGTGACTGGGGAGAAGGAGCGCCTTATTCAGAATAACAGAAAAAAACATGGACAGTGAGACATATTAAACTGTAGAATCCGCTCCCTGGGTGAAGTAGTGGCATTTAAATGGGGTCTTTTAGAATTAGGCTGGACAAACCACTAGAAAATATACAGGAGAGAGGGAAACAAAGGTCTTGTCTGTAATAGAAATGGACATGGATTTAATGTATAATTTTAAAATGTACCAAGTTAAATTGGTACAAATCTCATGCATTTAAACCAGTTTGCTATGTTCCACTGGCTTCACAAGAGAATATTAAATCGATCTAGTTAAAATGGTGCACTTTTTCTAATATAGAAAGGCTTAATTCCATCTGATAGACCTATATTTTAACAGTAAAGTTTTTGAGACCCATGGAAAGCTTTTTCTTCCTGTTCGGTCTTGCAGCACTGTGAATAACAGAGCTTCTCTCTTCTTCTAGATGGACACCAGTTAAAGCAGTGAGCACATCCCCTGCATGGAAAGGACTCCAGACATCTCATTCCATGCTCTCCGGAGGGAGGGGTGTATGACTGTGGCCACTAATATCAAGGATGGAATTTGTTTTACTTTTATGTTTGGAATAGGTTTTAAACTCATGTAAAGGTTTTTTTTTAATTCTGAAACAGATCTGTTTTGTACCGAGTTATTTTTGGGATAAATTTTACTGGTTGCCTGTTGGGCTGAGGTGGTTTTTTCACCTTTGCCGTAATAAAATAGAAATGTGTCTAGAGCTGTAAACGTCTGCTTCGTGTTGCAGCTGGAGTCCAGGGATGGAGCCTGGCCTGGGGCTGCAGGAATGTGAATATGGTGGGTAGGGATCAGGGAAATTGGTATGCAGGCCCATTTCTAAATGTTGGTGTCAAGTCACTCTCCTCTGAGGAAGGGGGGGTTGCTGTTCTGTCTCAGATCTTCCCTATCTCCACAGTGTCAGTGGTGGCCTGTTAACTGTGCACACCAACTTCCCTGTGCTGAGTAGAGCCTGTGGGTAGCTGCACAATCAAATACTGCTCTATTTACACATCTGCCTGAAATGAAATGAAGACTCACTCCAGTGTAACGAGTTAATAAAAGGTGCACAAACCTCCTTGCTGGTCTCTGGGAGGAGGTGAAATTCTTGTTGAAGTTGTTTTGTATTTAACACTTGGTTCCAAAGTTCCGTGCTGGTCCCACCTCTTCAGTATTTTTACTGTAAACAGTTGCTGTGCAAATTCAGTGACTCCAAAATGCCAAGTAAAGATTTAGTCTTTCAACTATCAATTCCCTATTGAATTATTTCTATAAATGGCTTTGGTGTCTGATTAAAAAACTTCTAGCAAAAAGAATCTAGAGGTCATAATCTTCAGTTTGTACTCATTACTAATCTACTGGCAGCTGGGCCTGGGAAAGAGCTACCTTCAAGTTCTTTTTGGGAGATAGCAGCGAAGGAAACCTCAGCTTGTATATGTCTAAAAACAAACCTGGCTGATAAGGTACAGGACACCTCTTCTACCTTCCCAGTAGAGTTCATATTGGAGAAGAATGCTAAACCTAGAGATCAGGAGAAAGCAAATCATGAGCACTTTGTTTGGACTTAAGTGTTCATGCCTATAGGCCCAACATGTGATCATTAAGTGACAAATTATGAGGACTTTTCTAGACTTGCAAGGTTAGAGATGAGAACTTCTGCATTATTGGGGGGGGGGGGGGGGGAGGAGAGTCAGGTATGGGAAGTGGTATCACTATTGTTCATGTACTCCACAGCTAAAATAAGCACTGAGAGTTAAGTAGACAGTTTTCAGCATGGAAAAGTTGAGTGTGCCCTAGGTGTGAGATCGAGATCCCCACCCCAAATTACATCTTTTTAAAAAGTCAGCTCCATCTATGTTATAGATAGTACTGAAGGTATGATATCACTAGATTGTACTGAGGCATAGGTACCCAGGTTTACCAAGCCTGCCTCTAAGCATCCATACTGCAGAATTGCATGACTCATACGTGTGCAGCTGCATACATACTGGTGCTTCAGTTACCTGGATTTGGCACTAGGATTTCTGCAAATGTATTCCAGGGTACTTAGTGTCTGATGACCCACTCTAGGAATTGTTTTGCAATATATTGTGGGATAACTTGGGCCTGTCTCTTGGGCCTCTGTGCAGAGCCTACCAGCATACTTAATGGAGGCACTTCCAGCTCTGCATGCTCTTCCGTTGTCTGTTTCAGCTGGTGCTAAGGGATGTATGCAGCACAGATAGATGAGCTATTCCTGCTTGTGGCTGTGCTGTTAGTGCTCCAGGATGCAGGTAGAGGCTATGGGACACAAAGGAGGGCATTTTATCAGGGGTTGCTGGGCTGTGGAAAGTAGGGGTGCATCTTGGAGGAGTCATGCATATTGGATGACAGAGTGGAGACAGCTGATGCTTGCTAAATCATTGTAGATTCCCCAACATGCTGCAGGCCAACTAGCACAGAGAGGTAGGATATCATCATCATGGAGACCTGGGATGAGCAACAGTGACTCTAGATTAACTTCTACATGAGGAAGATCTTCATGGAGCTGGGTACCTATATCCCCAGCCAGGTAAGCAAGCCCAGCTTCAAAACACATATAAGACCAGCTATAAGGGTTGTGTAAGGACAGTAGGGAAGTAGGGCTAAAACCTGGGTAAGAGCTTGGGTGAGCCTGCGTTTAAGACACCCTGAGACAAGGATCAGAGGGGTAGCCATGTTAGTCTGGATCTGTAAAAAGCAACAGAGTCTCCTTTGGCACTTTATAGACTAACAGGTGTATTGGAGCATAAGCTTTCGTGGGTGAATACCCACTTGGTCAGACGCATGAAACAAGGATGGGGAAGTAGGAACTGGCCAGCTCACTGCATGGGACAGACACTCCCTCAGACAAAGGGAGCTGAAAAGGGGTAGGCTCAGTGCATCCTCACAGGCATATAATGCTAGCAAAGGGCCAACATCCCACCAAGCTGAACCTCCTGAGGTTTCCAGCAGGGGACAAAGGTATTCTGGAGCTTCCCTATGCCTGAAGAGCACAGGGGAATACTGACCCCTGCTTCCCCTCAGAAGAGGGGCTTTGGGATCCCCTTTCACCCTCTCAAGGGGACTACGGCAATTCACCCCGCACTGATCCCCCCTGGGAGCAGGGACTACTCCCTCCCCCAAGATGGAAGGGAGATGTGCTCCTCACAGGCCCTTAGCTACCCACTTCCCTTCAACTCTCCCGGGGCAATGGGGAGGTTGGGAGCAGGGTGAGCTGCCTCTCAGCCATGCCCCCTCGCTGACCCTTTCTAAACCAGCACGGGAAAGTCAACACAAAAACATGAAAGGGGAATTTTAGAAGGCGAAAGGCGGCAGCTGCAAACGAGCCCGAAGGAGGGCAGAGAACGGAGCAAGCGAAGCAGGGTCCGCAGCACACCAGGGAGGGCAGAGTTAAGGGAACCCCACGCCGCTTGGCCTTAACTCCGCCCTTGTGGCGAGGGACAGGCTCCAGGCCCCTTAGTGCCGCGGGACGGGGCTGCCCCTGGGCGCGGTCAGTAGCAGGGACCGGCCCCAGCTAAACTCCCGCCCAGCGGCCTGCGTCGCCCAGCCGCTCGCTTCCCGCCGGGGGTTCTGTGCTTCCGGCCCCCGCCCGCCCTAGGGCTTCCGCTAAGAAGCGGAAGGGTAACGGCGCCTCAGGAGACGCTCTAGCCAAGCTCCGAACTCTATCATTTGTACCGTCGGTCGCGCGCCCCTCACGCTCTCCGCTGGCCAATCAGCGCGGCGAAGCCTGCTCGGAAGTGAGGCACCGGGCTCTGTCCTCTTAAAACGGGAAGTGACGGTGGTGTCCCGGAAGTGCGGGGGCGCGCGGAGACGGCTGGGCGGATCCGGGTGGCGTTGTCACAGCAGCGCGAGGAGGCGAACGGGCCGGGTAGGGTGAGGGCGGGGCTGGGGTGCGCGGGCGGGGCCCGAGCTGCGGCGCTTCTCGGTCTCCGGTCGGAGGGGGGGGCCCTTGTCACGCACGGGCCGGGAGTCCCCTGGGTCCCCGCCACTTCCGCGTTCCCGGCTGGGCGCACGGTCCCCTCCGCCGCCAGACCGCGCCTAGCGCCCTGGTCACGAGCCTGCGGTGGCACGTGCTCGGCCTGCGGCCCGCGGGGTGCGGGGCCCGTGGGCGGCCCGGGCACCGTGTCAGGCCCTAGAGCGGCTAGTTCGGGATCCCGGTGACAGCTCGGAGCGCGGGGCAGTGAACGGCCCCGGCAATGGCATTTGTGGGCTGGTGTGTGGGAACAGCGGGTGCTTCCTTGTTTCTGGCAGCTGCCCTAGTTGGAGTCCTAGCTAGAGCTCCTTCACAGGAGCGGCAAGGGAGGGGCGCCTGGACTTTGGCTGTCGCAAAAAAAGCTTGTTGGCTGCCTTGAAATATCAGGAATATAAAGTCGTCTTGGCTGTTTTGCTGAGACATGAAGTGGGGGCATCCAAAAGCCTTCCTTGAAGGAGTCGGGTTGCTGATTAATCTTGTTTTCCAGCTGTTTCTTAGCTGTGAATTAAATACCCTTTAACCATTTCCCTTCTCAGTTAATCAGGCTTGTTTTTAGGGCACATGTAGTTCTGCAGTCATCCAGAGTGTTCAGAGACAGGATATCAAACAGAATTCTTAATATAAGAACTGCAGAACTTTTTTCAGGCTTTTTATGTACCATAAAGGACACTAACTTGGTGTTTTCCCTTTGTAACTTATCTTTAGTACCTGGACTGGAGAGAGGCTGTACCCAGGAGTATGAATTTCCCCCACTTTACAGTCCTGATGGTGGAGTTTTTTAAAAACTGGTGCAATGGTGTGGGAGGAGCAAATTAAAACTTGTTGCTAGATTTCTATGGGAGGAGGTCTCTGGACCACTGGAGTGTTAGACTCAGAGCATTTGTGCATGGGAAACAGCTTTATGATGGCTCTTTACTGCTGTGTGCTGCTGCTCTTAGGCTCAGAATTGAATCTGAGTGGCAACCTGCTTTTCTGAGCACCATTTAATAAGTACAGTGAATGTTCATATCCTTGTACTTCCCACTGAGCTAAGTGCTCTCCTAGCCTCCCTCAAATAGGGTATTTTCACTGCTTGCTTTTGGATTGTTTTGGTGATGGGGAATCCGGAAGTGGTTTCCCTATGTTACCTTCCTGCCTTGTTAGAATGGTTAAAGTCCTGCTATTTCTTCTGTAATGCCAGACACAGTGCATTTCAAAGCTGGTATGCATGAAGAGTATGTATGCAGTTTGGTTGTTAAGGTACCTGATGTACCTGCTTCCGGTGTGTGAAAGCCGCGTCAGAAGGTTGAGGGGGAGGGAGAGGATGAACACTTCCGTGGTTTTCCAGACTCTTTCCTAACAGCTCTGAAAATGGCAGCTTCCCTTTTTTTAAACTAAATATATGAAATTGCAGTAGTGCTGGCAACAGCTCAGCATAGTATAGGAAGTGCTGTGTAAGCATTCCTTACACAGTTCTGCTGATGTTTCTCAAGCTTCACCTGTAGTACACCCTACTAATACAGCCTTGTGGCTCCCACACAACCTAGCAACCTGAGGCACCTATATTCTGGCCTAAGCTTCAATTATAGTCCAGAATGCTCTGCTGTTTCACTCCTATGTTTCTCAAAGCTCTTGCAGTGCACCCCAGTTATTGTAGCCCTGTACTAGTTGTACCACCTATGGAACAATAGGGCCGTCAAAATAAGCAGAAACAAAAAAAAGAGAGAAAAATAACAATTTAAATACTGTAC